TCCCCCCATCTTAAATGTTGTGGGGGTTTGGGGAACCCCTGGTCTAGATCCTATTTTTACTTGTGTTGCCCAAGATTGGAGAGCAGCAACTACTAACCTTAACAGTTCCCAAAAAGCCCAAGCAGCATTGCACCTGGTGAGTGTTTGGATGGGGGACCACCAGGAAATACTAATGCTGTAGGACACGAGTGGGGGGAAAAAGTCCTAGAAAGCAACTCTGGCAAACAGTTTCTGTACTGCTGCCAAGAAAACTACATGGACGTTTCCGTGAAGTCACCAGGGTTTATTTTTACCTTTTGATGTAGGGGTAGCCCTTTACAAAAATCTTGCTTATAAGTCTGTACAACCCCATGTACACAAAGTAACTCTAGTCAGTAGTTTTCCAGGTCACTACTGCTCCTCCTTTGCTTTTGTTAGATCCACCTGTTTGCACAGACAAGCAGGTTGTCTGACCCTCTTATGCTTGACTTGTACATTGAGAATTGGTTGGTTTCCATTCAGACAAATAAACTGGTTCAGCTGAAACATGCTGGGCTCAGTACAGACCAAATTGGTTGAATTTGGGTCCCTTTGAAAGTAAGGGGACAAGTTAATAATTGTTTGTCCTTTTTTCCTGTAGAGGTCAGCAGGGCTTAATTTCTACTGCCAAGAAATCTAGATACAACCCATTGGTTTTGGCAAGATCTGGAAATCTATTTTGTTTGTTCTGAATAATTGCCTTATTCAGATAAGTGAGTCATCACCAGGTGATAGAGACAACTGTGTAAATTGGCCTGCAAGGTTCCCATTTTGGGGAACTTGCTTCAGGTTCTGGTGTCAACCACTTTAATTAATTTGGGCCCCCTCTTGCACCAGGACTGAATCACACAGACCAGCTGCTCACTTTTGGCATAGATGCTTTTTTCCTTCTCCATGTGTAGTTTGTGTTGCATGGCTTAGCACATGCCAGGCAGAGGCACACTTTTCTCTGCCACTTCCACAAAAGGGAAGTGCAAATACAGTCAGCCATCAAAGATACTGCATATAATTTCACTCTCATGGGAGCCTACATTTTATAGCTGGATTTAAACTAGGACTGCCCAACCACGAAGCCCAAAAATAGGATAATCGAGTAAACCACGGTCCAGTTAATCACATATTGTGCAAGGAGGTGGTAAAAAAGAATGAAGAAAGGCCAAAGTGACCAGCAAGAGAAGTATTGGGGAAACCTGACCTGAGCATCTTTATTGCAGGGTGGGCAACCTGTGGGTTACATGTAGTCCTAGCCCCTTTTTTGCATCCCCTGGAGGCCCTAAGGTTGTGCTGAGAAAAAGCAGTAAACAGCTGAACCACAGTGGTATGATTTCTCAACGATTTCTGGAGCAAAGTGGAATTGGCATGTTAAGGAAAATACGTAGAAAATCCCACCACTGCCCCATCAGGTGAAGTGCTAATGTTAGTTCCCACCATTCTGGCCTCAGCACTCTGTCATTTCCAAAGTCTAATTCTTGGCAGTAAAAAAGTTATCCACAACTTTCCAGAAGGTTTGGAAATGTCACTTAATCTCTGTAGTGACAGGTGAGTTAGCTTTTGTGACTGCTGTGGCTAATCCTGCTGTATTCCTGTTTCTTGCCATGGCTGGGGATGGTGCAGTAGCGAAGGCCAGTGACCCAAACTCGAGTTGTCCTGTGAATTCTGGTTTCTGACCACTATTTTGGATTGGGCCAGGCACTGACCAGTTCTCTTTCACCCTCTAGTGGCAGTTCTGGGCTATACTTGGCCTCTTGGCTGCTTCTAGCTTAAGCTCACAACTTAGTTTTTAACCACACAGCTAAATTGTGTAGTCACCAAATTTGCACAGTGAGCTATCTGTATGGGAGTCTGTCTGTATAATTTGGCCAACTAAAGCCTTGTCAAGCTAAACTCCATGATTATGAGGTTGGGAACTATGTAATTTCTTATGTGGGAGATCTATAGTTGTCTTAATCCATGCTGGGACATCCTTCCCAAAATCAAGAAACCATCTCACTGAGCTCTCCTGCAATTTGTCCTTTCTGGTTGCAACAATATTTCTTGTACAGTGTACAATCTTGGAACATGCTTCATTGAAGTTGGAAAAATGAAACACTCCCTTCTATGCTTCCTCTTAACCACATTTCTGCTATAAAACCAGAGGTGGGTGGACTTGCAAGATCTTTATTTTTGACTAGAAACCCAAATCCGCTAACCAGAATCAAGGGTGAAATGGTGGTCAGGGCCAAGAGTTGGTATATTTTTAGAATTAAGGAACATGATTAGATAGCCAAGGAATTTGTTTTCAATACCAGAGCTGAGCTCACATTCCTGTGACCCAGAAATTCACTCCCACTTCTTCTGGCCCAAGCTTTTTTCTATCTCAGTAATCCAAGGGTCTTTTCACCTATAAGGGCTGTGCCAGTCGAAAGTGCAGTGCCCTTTCATGTTTTCACACAGCTGTGGGTGTCTTGGTAAGATGTTCATCAGCTCAGCAGTTGCTCCAGAGGAGACAGCAAAGATAAATGTGTTGCATTGCCTCCATAGCTGAAGGGCAGGTGGTTCCCCATTGTCAGGAACATCCTTATTTGGGCTCCTGGGATTTTTCTTCCCTTTCTGAAGTGAAGGTGCCTGGTCATTACCTGATGCTTTCCAGTGGCTCTGGGGAATCGCTTTGGTGTGTTGTTGTTTCATTCGTTTTACTTTTTTTTTCCTTACTGTAAAAAGCAACCATGGTGAGTTGCTTTTTACAGGCCTTAAACTAAAAAGGAAAAAGCTTTTGGTTGTAGGTGTTGAGAATCAAAGAGATTGTTGATCGTTGTAGGTTCTCTTTGTGAGATGGTAACAGAGACAGGGAGAGAAATGACTTCCATGTTAAGGAGGGGGCGTTGTTAAGAAAAATTACAAAATATTTCTTTACAAAAAACAATTTTATCTCTGTTTCTGTTTTGCTTTCTAATTCCTACTTCCTGTCCTACCTTTGTCTATTATTTCATTTTATCAGTATTTCTTTTATTTACCTGAAGCTCTATACTTGATTATCCTATATCTTACAGTTTTCAATTCTACACTGTAGAGTCTTTATTCTGTATTCTGTAGTCTTTCATACTCTGATTTCTCTTCTTTTTACAGAGCCGGCGCTATACTGTATTTTATCTTAATCTTTAATTTTCCCTTAATCTGGTCCTTGTGTACCTGGGCCTTTAAAATAATGCCTGGCCTTTCCTAGACCGTGCAGCCCCCACAGTCACCTATGTGCCCTGTTGAAGATAAATGGGTGCTGTGTGGATGGTTGAAGTTGCTTGATCTGGGCTAGCCCTTGAAGGCTACAGCTACTGTTCTGGGGTTTCAGATAATGGCAGGCACTCTGGTGCCAGGGCCACTCTTTTAAAAAGTAGGGATGGGTACCTAAGACCAAACCAAGACTGATCTAAAAGAAGGTGTGAGTTATTTGTTGGTTTCACCGCTTCCAGATTCAGATCAGCATTGCTGGAAACAAACTTGGCTGGGAGGGTCTGGTGCTCCTTAGAAGCAAAACCAGCTTGTGTATCTCATCCCTGCTGAATTGCGAGTTGTGCTGGGATCTGATAAAAATCCACCCCAGCAAGTCCCATTACTGCATGTTCTACTAGATTTATGGCAAGGGAAGTACAGGTGTGTCTCACCTTCTACTTCTGTGTACCTGGATACCTTTTTGCTTAGCAAGATGCCAGTGATCGCTAGCCTCTTTTCCACATGCACAGATTAGAGTGAAACAATGCACCTGTGTTGTCCAGGTTTTTGGATTTGGGTGTAGATCAAGTGATGTGCATCTTCATTCAGGCCAAGGGTCGCCCTTAGCCAAACTGGATGTTGGGAGGGGGGCACACTAATATATGGGGCCAGGACAGAAATTGAATTTGATTCAACTTAAGTGTTCCCCCTGTATTTAATACATTTCCTCCTTCTATCCCATTAAAAATTATATGGATTTGATGGCTGTTCTTGGAAGGGCTCTGGTTATATGTGGTCCTGGAGTGACACAGCAGCTGTCCCTTTAGGGACCCCGATATAGTTCCTGCTATTAATGCCCCCTTGCTATCCCTGTTGCTCCTTTGTATTAGAGGTGGGCAGTGAAGTGGTTCTGTTGCACTTTGCCAGAAACCCAGAGGGTCATCCATTGTGTCCTTATGCCATAGCTTATTTTCCCTTTCCACCTTCAAAAACTGCCTGTGTGATGCCAATATCCCCCTTTGCCAGTGTAAATGTTAGATTGCCCTCTCGGTCACCCATTCTGTTTTATTTTTCTCATTCCCATTTGTGCGCTCTTCATGCCTTGTGCTCCCCAAAGTTCACACCCCTGTGCCAAGTATAATCTTGTTTCTGTCTGTCGGGTTTTTGGTTTTTTGTTTTTTTTGCTGTGACCCATTTTTCCTTTGGCCTGGCAAGGGATGGCCTAAGGCATTTGACATCGTGGAGCAGCAGCTCTTCGCTTTGTATAGTTGCCCCCAGGCCCTTTGTAGAGTCAGAAAGGATGCTAGAGCCCAGTGTTAGAATACGCAGTGCTTTGTTGCCATTGCTAAATACATTATTGCTAGTTTCTGCAGTTGAGCCAGCCTTGGACTCAGCTAGTTTTGATAGGCCCAACGCAGGCATGCCTCCGCTCTTCTCACTCTGAACTCTCTTTGCCCTGTGCTCCACACAAGCCCCTCTCTCCTGGCAGGATGACTGCAATTTGGCTGAATGCACTATGAGTTAGTAAGTCCATCTTCTTCAGGCTGTCCCGTTTCAAGCTGCAGGCGGTGGTAATCATACAGCCAAAATGTCCCCCTGGAGATTAAATAAATACATTCCAGCACCTAGAAAACCTACACATCAGAAAGTAGGTCTTAGCTTAGATTCTTACCTCGATGCGTTTGGGGGGCTTAGGGATGTTTTTCAGTTACGCAAGTGACACCCCTTCCAGCAGTTTGAAGTGGAACAGCCCAGGCAGAGTTTGACTTGGCTTTACTTTCTAGCCATTTGCTTGTGGCAGGTTTACCTGCTTCTCGCAGAACTGCCATGTCTTCTTGTTCCTGCGTACCTTCAGCTCTTGCATGCGGTGTCCTGGGGGGGGGGCAGCTTACATTGCCCACTAACAAACATACCAGTGCCCGTGTGATTCCCTGGGCTGTGTCTTCTCGCTCTTTCCCTGCCTGCCCCAAACATCGTGGGCAGGCATCCATCTTGTTTGCCTGTTTCCCCGTCTGCTCCGTTCTTATGCAGCCCTGGAGTTGTGAGTGATGGGGCTGTGACATGGGGCCCTCTCATCTCCCAGAATGGGAAGCTTTCAAAGAACAAACGGAAGAAGCTGAAGAGGAAGCAGAAGCGGCAGAGCCAGCTCCTGGCTGAACGACTTCGGGACCTTCAGCAGCTGGAGGAACTGGCAGCTACAAATGCAGGGACCGGGAAATCCACAGTGACCACAGGTAAGGTTGGCGGGGCAGACTGGCCCACCGCAGTACAGCCCGTTGCCCTTGGGGCCGTCCCTGCAAACCTGGCAGAAGCACATGGTGGATAGTCGCAGCGACCATATTTCCTCGGAAAAAATAAAGGACAAACCTGTAAAAGGGGCAAATCTGAAAAAGATTCATAAGGATTAAAAAAAAATTATTATTGTTGATGTTTATAACTTTGCTTCAGAAAGGAAAATGCAGGAGCAAAACCAAGAAAAACTTTACAAAAACACATGTTTTATCTAAAATCAAACAGGATATGTAAATTCATTTTAAAGAGACAATTCGATTTCCATATTTTTCACATGAAGGTGAAAGACTGTGCATTAAGTGGTACCACTTGTACAGTAAAAGTTAAAAGACCAAAGTAAAGGGCAAAAGTGATTTTTCAAAAAATAAATCTAAGGACAGCTTTCTGAAATAAAGGACTGTCCTTTATAATAAAGGGCATGTGGTCACTGTGTGGATAGTGTGCAACGTAGTACTTTTGACTCGCTTTGCATTATACTAACTGTTGATTTTGCACTGATGCACGTTTGCAAACTTGGCTGATACATGAGCCTCTCTTGATATCTTACTATGTGCTATGAAAACATTTTGCTAGGCAGCCTGCTTTATTCTTGTATGTTTGTCCTTGTGTATTCCACAGTCTACTTTCAGCTTTGCTTAGTAGTCACTTAGAGTTTGGACTGAAACTACAAATAAGCCCAAGTTGTTAATACAGGCATCCTGCCACATAATGGTAGTTTTTTCCCCAGAGGAAGGAATAAATGCCTAACTACAAAAATTCTATAAATTCTTATTCAACTGTTATATGTATTCAGTTCTTGATTTGTTTACCAGCAAAACTGCAGAAGCTCTAGGTCAGTGTTTCTTAAAGTGTGGTCCTAGAATCCCTGAGGGTCCCCCGAGACTCTCTCAGGGGTCTTTGAAATCAAAATCACTCACTAGCCTATGTTGAAAAATAAAACAATATTAAAATCCCATCAAACAGTCATGAGAAGCGGTAGTAGCAGTGAAGGCCTCAATTTTTATTTTTAATACGGTAAATATAGATAAATATAACCCATACAAACAAAAGTTCTTTTGAGGTCCTCCATAATTCTTGAAAGTGGGAAGGTGTCCTGATAGAAAAAAAGTTTAAGAAACACTACTCTAGGTGATCCACACAACCAAGTCATAAAAGCAATAAAACCTTCATAATAAAAATTAAAAAAAACTCACAATCCATACAGTTGAGGTAACACATTGCTGATCGAGTTGCACGCAAAGTGGGAATGTTCAAAAGGGAAAAAAAACAACATCCAGAGTTTTCTAGATCCTAACAACCTGCAAAAGTAATCCAGAAATTTGTCATCATTCCATACTGGAATTTCAAATCACTCTTTGTAGTTCTAGAGCATATTGTTCACCAGCACCAACTCACCAGATTTGAAATAAAATATTTGATTTTTAAAACTCCGAGAAAAAGAGATTGTTGGTGATGCACGCAAATAACATACGGACAAGAAACCTGATCTGTTTTTATCATGGTAGCCAGGCCCAGTTGGAAAATCTGATAATGATAAATAAGAAGAGCTATCTTGATCAGACCAAAAGTGGCCAACCAGGTTCCCAAGAGAAGCCCACAAACCCTAGTGCTGCCTTCTTTCTGTTCCCCAGCAATTACCCTTGAGATGCGTCCTGCCTCTGAGGCAGGGCATACATGGCCTTGGGACTAATGGAATCTGTCACCCAGAATTAGCTTGTCTAATTTCCTTTTAAGATAGCCAGGCTGGTGGCCATTACTATATTTTACAGAACTGAATTCCATAGTTTAATGAAGTACTCTACCAAGAAGTAGCTTTATTTCTCTGTCCTGAAACTCCTCGTGTTGGATGACCCAGGTGTAAGATTTATGAAAAAGGAAATAAAAATGAGATTCTGATTTTGGATATTTGCTTTTGAGACTTTGAATAAGACATGGGGGTTAGAGGGTTTTGTCAGGCACCCCTCTTCAGTGCATTTTACTTTACTCTAAAGCGTGGCTCTGCCTTTTCCTCTTGGCTAATGATGTTTCCCTTCCTCTTACTGGGACATCTTGATCTTCCATCATCTTCTGCAGAAGGGCATTGCAGTTGCCCCATCTCAGTCTCTGGAGGGGGAGAGCCCTTGGGGGGATCTCTGGCCTGTAGCCCCCAAAGCCTGACGTCGTCCTCCGGCTTCTACACACACAATGCCTACGACAGCTGCAATGGGCATTCCCCACCAGGAACCTCCAGCCATCACTTCAGCCCTGACTCCACCACCTCCGGCTTCTCAGGATCACTCTTCTCCGGCTCAGCCTTGTCAGGCATTTCTAACCAGCGGGAGCGCGGAGGGCTTCTCTCACCCAGCAGTGAGTACTTGTTCCAATGTCGCAGGGATGGGGAGGCAAAGAGAAATAGTGGCCAAGCATTGCTGAACATCCCAGCTTCCTACCTTGGCAATCACACACTACAACCCTTTAGCCATGGCATCTCTTCCCTTCTTAGCCAGACTTTCTTAAAGTTGTGGTAGCACATTATCCCTGAATTAAAACTCCCTCTTAGGCCAGATTCCTATATGGCGGCGAGCCGGTGGTGGCTTATTCAACCAATTGGGGTTGAACAACAATGGCTTAGTATGATGTGTAAATCAGGTCTGATGGGCTGAAAGCTTTAATTGATGGTGTTTCTGGCACTTTCTAAGATGCCATTTTCTGATACCATTCTGACTTTGGTGATGATTAAAAGATCTATTTATATCAGAAGCAAAGATCTAGGCAAGAGACTTTGTTTCTGAATGCTTTCATTTCTTGTGGCACAATAAGGTGCCTCAACATTTGGGTGGGGGAGAGGGGTTGGAAGCGCTCCAATTCAGGCCTGCCTGGAAGCTACACATAGTCAGTACTAGATGCTGAAGGAAAAGATGCCAGACTTAAAGAAGCTGCACCATTTCTCAACCCTGTGGATATTCCGTAGAGACCAATCCATTGTTTTTCAACCTTGGCAGCTTTAAGATGCCCGGACTTCAACTCCCAGAATTCCCCAGCCAGCATAAACTGATGTATTTAAGAATGGTATAGGCTACTTGGTTTAGTACAGATGTTTTTATGCTGGTGGGAGGAGCTCCTGTTTTGATTTTTTTTCTTACACTCCCCATATGATGCTAGAGCAGCATTTCCATTCTAGAGAGGAGGTATGTGTGTTTTGATTGCAATTCCTTACAATTGTTCTTGTTTGTTGCCCCTTTGTTCTTTTCTACCCTAACTGTCTGGGCAGCTTTTGGCACCTCTGAATTTTTGGTGAACCCTTTGGAACCCCAAAATGCAGACAAGATCAGAGTGAAGATTGCAGATCTGGGCAATGCCTGCTGGGTGGTGAGTAATTAGAGCAGATGTCTTCCCTCTCCCCAGTAATGGTGGCTGCCTGTGGAGAATGGAAAATTAGGGTTGCATTGCAAAGGGTATTTGGCTTGTTTAGGAACTTAACAGAATGGAAAGTAATGAATACTCTTAGGGGAAGAATAGGGAAAACTTAAGGGGGTGAAATAGTGTTATATGAGAGGGAGGTATTTGGAGCCATAGAGATGAATCTCTCCCTTTCCTAGAGTTGAGAAATTATACAACAGAAACAACGCAGTGGAAAATTACATATTTGCAGAGTTCAGAATTACATGCTGTTATTTATTAACTATGTATTCCACCCTTATTCTAGTAAGGTTAGGGTGATGTATATGGAGGTACAGGTAGTCCTCAGTTAACAACCACTCCTTCAGCGACCATTTGAAGTTACGACGGTGCTGAATGAGTGGCGGTTATGACTGGTCCTTGAAGTTCCAGCTGTCCCAGCACCCCCATGGTCACTTGATCACAAACCAGCTTGCACTTACAACAGTTGCAGCGTCCCGCAGTCATGTGATCATGATTTAAAATCTACCCTGCCAGCTTCCTACAAGCAAAGCCAGTGGGGAAGCTGGCAAGAAAGGTCACAAGTTGCTTAAGTAAATCTCCCCCACCTGCACACCCTCCCCCAGCCCCTCTGCACTTGCACTGCATCTCCCAGGCCATTCACGCACCCTCTCCTACCTGGCAGCAGCCACCCCAAGCCCCACCACACCCATGCCACATCTTCCCCACCACCTGCACACCCTTGTGCACCCTCCCCAAGCCTCACTGCACTTGTGCTACGCCTCCCTGGTCACTTGCACACCCTCCCTCACCCAGCAGCAGCCACCCCAAGCCCTGCCACACTTGCGCCACACCTCCCCAGCCACCCTCGCACCCCCTCCCTCCCTCCCCCACCCAGCAACAGCTGTTTACTGCCTGCCGGCCTGCTTGTGAGCCACCTGGGACTTGCAATTTCCTGCCGGCTTTCCCCTTTTCCTTTTGTTTTTGAAGCCGGCAGAAAATTGCAAGTATGTGCCCCCTTAATGACCCACGATTCTCGCTTAACAACAGCAACAGAGACTGCGGGGATCACCATCGTTAAGTGATGTGGTCACGTGATGTTGTGCTTTACAACCACATCACTTAGCGACAGAAATTCCGGTCCCAATTGCCGTCATAACTTGAGGACTACCTGTATTCTTGTTGGAATCCTGTCAGGTATCCCAGGCTGAGAATGAGTGACTGACAGTGAAGCCATCCAGGGACTGAGCGCTGACTGTTCTGGCCAGAATCCAGCACTCTGCTATATTCCTGTTTACTTTCTTGTAGTACAGCTAAAAATGAAGCAGTGTTTGTAAAACATGTGGAACAATAATAAATCATAATCTTGTATTTTTTGAGAAAGAGAGAGGGAGAGAATTTTTTTAAAATGCTAATATTAATAGTTGCAATATCTGGCATCTTTTTGTACATTTCTGCTTTGCTTTAGTTCACTTACCACAGCAGCACTTAGGCTGCTATTTTTGTTATCCTTTTTAAATAGGTGGTATAAACTTTACCCAGTGGTTGTGTTCAGAGCCACCCTCATGCACAGTTAACTGTTTAGTCTGTTTACTTAATTTGTTGTTGTTTAGTCGTTAAGTCGTGTCCGACTCTTCGTGACCCCATGAACCATA